GCCTTCGCCGCTTCCTCCCTTTCCTCCTTCAAGGCCGGTCTCAAGACCTTTCTCTTTGACCTTCAGCCCCTCTCTCGACTCTCTACCCCCTCCTCGCTGCCTCCCTTCCCTCCCCTCACCCCGACCTGCTCGGGTCCCGACCCAACTGTCCAGCGCCTTGGGACGTCCTCCCGACATGAAAGGCACTCTATAAATGGAATCTTGTTGTTGTTGTTGTGAAGTGAATGACCAATTTTACATGGAGGATCGTTTTATTAGTAACCAAAGCACCAGGAAAAATGTACAACAATATTAACACTTAGTTCAGCATGGTCATCTTAAAGATTTGCCATTCAAAGCACACTGTTGCACGCAGCAATGCAAGAGGCCACAATTTAATACCCAGCTATGCCAGATAGTCCATATTCTCAGATAGCAATGGAATCCACAATATCCTTCATTCCAGCTCCAGCAAATCCTCAAATGATGGCTTTATGACAAGTGGAAAGTTTTATAAGTGGATCATGTAGCCATGCAGTCAGTGTGACACTCCTCACTGCTGACAGTGCAAGTCCACTTTTATTTTGGTCACATCGCTGTGCAGTCAAAGTTGTTAAGCAACTTGATCAGAAGACCAGGCCCAAGAGAAGGTTGACAGCTGATTTGTACATTAAAAAAAATAAATCTTTATTTAAACACCACGAGGCTGGAAATGATCTGTGAAAGAGCTCAGAGCAGCAAACAGAGATGAAATTGTTCTCATTCTCTCCAGGGCACTCATTAGTGACGTCAAGGCTGCTACGCCTAAGCTGTTCATTTGGCAAAGGACCGCTCTCTCCAACTGATAATGTGTGGAACCAACATTTCGGTGATGCTACGATTCACCCTCATTGACATTGCTCGGTAATTCTCAGAACGAAAAGCATCAGTTATTTTTGGAACCATGATGAAGAGCTGGAGTTTGTATCTTTTATCGCTGTGCCACAGCCTGCCAGACCTGCATGCTGGTCATACCTAGATCTCCATCACCATTAATTCCGGATATTAAAATCAATTTCAAGCATATCTGTTACACAAGCCTGTGTTACAGTGTGGCCTCCTGTTTCGTCAGGACAGTAAGACATTCCAGTGATAATGGCCCTGGTTGAACAGTACTCTTAATGAGAATAAGTTCTGGTTTTTTTTTACTGGAACCAAATCGAATGGAATTGGATCAATTCAGATCTATTTTTTCCCCACGTATGTGCAGATACCAATCTGACCACCTAACTTTCCTCAATGAGTGCAAACACGAGTGCCGGAACATCTAAAAGACCTTGACACGTCTTTAAATCTAATTGTACGATTAAGGAACACAAAAGAAAATATCGGATTCAATGGTCTGCAAAATCATATTCCCAAATCAAATCCGGACTCCTGACATTTGAACTTTCAGATGCAGGGAATTCAGACCTTGGTTTTAATGCCTTATTTGAAGGATGGCACCTCAATCGATGTAGCGCTCACCAAAACTGCATTGGAGCGCAAGCCTGGCGCAAGCTAGAAATCCTGACATGAGACTTGAACCCTTACCCTTCTGTAAATACAGTGACAGCTAAAATACCCGCCATTTGCCACGGTTGAAGCAAGCACTTTTCACAAATTTCACTTGACATCTGAAAGGCGACACATGTGTTAAACTGTCAGAAGCATTGTACACATACCATTTTTTAAAAAAACTAATAAAAATCAAACATAAAACAATTAGAAAATAAATAGGGAATGTGAAGCGCTTTGAGAAGCCCTCCTGACATGAAAGGTGCTCAGTTATTTTCATTTGCAACTCTTGGAATGCAATGATTTGTGGGGTCCTGTAGCGGATTGGTGATAGCCCTCACCTCGCAAGCAAGAGACCCGGGTTCGATTCCCGGACAGGACAAAACCTTGGGCAAGTTTCCTTACTCCCCAAGCCTCTGTTTACCTTGCAATAAGTAGGAACTCCGTTGTTATATTAGCAGATAGCTTTCTGGGGGTAATAATCCGTACAAAAATATAAAAAAAATAATTTGGTCATTCAATCCACGACTGTTTGTGGGACACCGCTGTGCGCAATTGGCTGCCGTGTTTTGCCCACAAAATATAGTCAATCCACTTTAAAATACAGTAAAACTCGCATAAGTCTGATCCGTATAGATCGTATAAATGCCTAAGTCGTACATCTGCTTAAGTCCCATTGAATTTCCCATTATTATTAAGTTTCACATAACTCATACTTTGCAGAAGTCAAGTCATATTAACTGTATGGTCCGTACTGACACAACTTATCTTTGGTTTTACTGTAACAATAATCCTTGCGTTTCACCCACAAAATACAGTTGATTCGCTTTACAGTGTGTTCTGTGAGGCGCTTTGAGCCGTCTCGACGAGGTGATGGGGCGCTGTATCTAATGCCAGGATTCTTATTATGATTATTATTATTTGATACAGCAGCTTATCAAATATATATATATATATATTCTATGCAGCACCTTGAGACGTCTCGACCACATGATGAGTGCAAGGATTATTATTATCATGCGATGATTTGTTGGTGTTGAGTGTGTGTCTGTCTGTGTGTGTTTGTGTTTGTCTGTGTGTGTGTCTTGTGTGTCAGAGCTGTGTGTGTGTGTGTGTAGTGTGTATGAGTGTGTGTGGTGTGTGAGGGCTGTGTAGTGTGTGTGTGTAGTGTGTGTGAGGGCTGTGTAGTGTGTGTGTAGTGTGTATGAGTGTGTGTGAGGTGTGAGCTGTGTGTGAGGGCTGTGTAGTGTGTGTGTAGTGTGTATGAGGGCTGTGTGTGGTATACATGTGTGAGGGCTGTGTAGTGTGTGTGTAGTGTGTATGAGGGCTGTGTGTGGTATACATGTGTGAGGGCTGTGTATGAGGTGTGTGTGAGGGGTGTGTGTGGTACATGTGTGTGAGGTGTGTGTGAGGCTCTCTGTCAGTCCGGGGCGGGAGGGGGGTCGGAGTGACATCACATCCGGGGCGGGGCCTCAATTGGTGGGCGGGAAGGGGTCGCGGGGTTGTCTGCGGGGGGCGGGGCCGGGGGGGTGAGGAGGCGGGGCCGGGGGGGGGGGGGGGGCAGGGGTGAGGAGCGGGGCCGGGGGTGAGGAGGCGGGGCCGGGGGGGGGGGCCGGGGCCGGGGGAGGCGGGGTCGGGGGTGAGGAGGCGGGGCGGGGGGGGGGGCGGGGCCGGGGGGAGGCGGGGCCGGGGGGAGGAGCGGAGTGACGGCCCTCAGAGCCCCAGTGGAGGTGCTGTGTCTCGGGGCTGTGCTGATGGAGTGAGCGGGTGGGGAGGAGCGGGGCCTCACCTCCTGACTGAGCTGCTCACCGACCCCGAGAGAGGCAGCGGCTCCTCCCGCCGCCCGGGCTCCGCTATGCTCCGCCGGATCTTACAGCGGGTAAGTCGCGGGGCCCAAAGCGGCTGTCGGTGTCGGTGTCAGTTCCGTTCTATGCGGCTCCCGGTGAAAAAGGTGGCGCTGGTTTGGGCTGCAAAGGCCGCCCCCTCCCCCTCTCCCCCTCTACCCCCCCCCTCCCCCCCCACCCGGGGCGGGGTGTGTGTGGAGGGGAGGCCGGGGGGGGCCGGGCGGGGCCGGGCAGGGCCGCTCCTGTAGGCCCCGCTGTGTCGGGAGGGAAGCCCGGGCTGGGCTGGGGGTGTGAGGAGAGGGTATGGGGGGTGTGGGGGGGGGACTGACGAGAGTGTATGAGGTGGGAGGGGGTGTGGGGAGTGTGGGGGAAGTGAGGAGAGGGTATAGGGTAGGGGTGTGGGGGAGGTGAGGAGAGGGTGTGGGGGCGAGTGAGGAGAGGGTATGGGGGGCGAGTGAGGAGAGGGTAGGGGGGAGTGAGGAGAGGGTATGGGGGGGAGTGAGGAGAGGGTATGGGGGGGGAGTGAGGAGAGGGTGTGGGGGGCGAGTGAGGAGAGGGTATGGGGGCGAGTGAGGAGAGGGTGGGGGGCGAGTGAGGAGAGGGTATGGGGGCGAGTGAGGAGAGGGTAGGTGGGGTGAGTGAGGAGAGGGTATGTGGGGGCGAGTGAGGAGAGGGTATGGGGGGGCGAGTGAGGAGAGGGTATGGGGGCGAGTGAGGAGAGGGTATGGGGGGCGAGTGAGGAGAGGGTATGGGGGCGAGTGAGGGAGGGTGGGGGGGGTGAAGAGAGGGTATGGGGGCGAGTGAGGAGAGGGTATGGGGGCGAGTGAGGAGAGGGTGTGGGGGCGAGTGAGGAGAGGGTGGGGGGGAGTGAGGAGAGGGTATGGGGGGGAGTGAGGAGAGGGTGGGGGCGAGTGAGGAGAGGGAGCGGGGGGAGTGAGGAGAGGGTGCGGGGGGAGTGAGGAGAGGGTGCGGGGGGGAGTGAGGAGAGGGTGCGGGGGGGAGTGAGGAGAGGGTGCGGGGGGGAGTGAGGAGAGGGTGCGGGGGGAGTGAGGAGAGGGTGCGGGGGGAGTGAGGAGAGGGCGGGGGGGAGTGAGGAGAGGGTGCGGGGGGAGTGAGGAGAGGGTGCGGGGGGGTAGGGTGAGGAGAGGGTGCGGGGGGGAGTGAGGAGAGGGTGCGGGGGGAGTGAGGAGAGGGTGCGGGGGGAGTGAGGAGAGGGTGCGGGGGGGAGTGAGGAGAGGGTGCGGGGGAGTGAGGAGAGGGTGGGGGGGAGTGAGGAGAGGGTAGTGGGGGAGTGAGGAGAGGGTGGGGGGGAGTGAGGAGAGGGTTGGGAGGAGTGGGAGGTGAGGAGGGTATGGGGGGGAGTGAGGAGAGGGTATGGGGGGGAGTGAGGAGAGGTATGGGGGGGAGTGAGGAGAGGGTATGGGGGGAGTGAGGAGAGGGTATGGGGGGAGTGAGGAGAGGGTATGGGGGGGAGTGAGGAGAGGGTATGGGGGGGTGAGGAGAGGGTTGGGGGGAGTGAGGAGAGGGTTGGGGGGGAGTGAGGAGAGGGTTATGGGGGGGGAGTGAGGAGAGGGTTTGGGGGGGAGTGAGGAGAGGGTATG